ATTGAACTTATAACTACTTCAAGAATTAAGGTAAACAAAAGCTTGATATCGAAATTGGGTTTAAAATTTAGTTCCGCAATGCAACGTTGTATTTCTTCCCGAGTAAGCGATTGAAGTTTATTAGTTTTGTCCATAAAAGGGGCAGAGGCAGTAAACCTGCAACGGACTCCACCGGAACATACAATGTTTTTAATACTCAAACTGTGGTATAGGAGGCAGAAACTGCGCGTTTATTTACGTATTAATATGGGAATGGGTCAAAACATTTAGGGACTAGAGTGACAAAGAACATACATATGTCAAGATATAAGATCTGTAAGACGTACAGTTGACGTTGTCCTGCATAACATTTCAAGGGATTAGGATAGTAAACAAAGTATGAAAGTACCGACTGCAGCGCCATCTGCCGGGCTGATTTGTGAATCTAAACCATCCAGGGCGCCACCCAAACGCATAAAAAAATTAATTCAAATCGGACCAGCCGTTTAAGAAGAGTTCAGTGACATACACACGTACAGTGGGATTATATATATAAGGATACATATATTGCTGTTCGTTTGTCTCGCTAATTATGATCTTGCAATATTTGTGGAAGTTCAGGGAAGGTTTATATGGTGGGATATACAAAATAATAAGTTAATAAAAATACTAGAAAAGACAATTAAATTTTCCAATAAAGACTGTTTGGAAAATATTTGATGTCTTTTGTTATTTTTGAAATAAGAAATTTTCCCTTGGCTGTCATATATTTATAGTTGCCTTCAGAAATCTGTGTTTCATAGCTGTAGGGTAAGGTCCGTTCTCTTTGGTCTCTTTTCAAAATATTACACAAATATATGTAGGTGATACAAAGTTCACCGGCTCATAAATTAACATATTATAGTATTGACGCTTGCTGTCAATTTGTATGACTTAAAAGTTTCTAGTGAAATTATTGGCTTTGAAGGAACTTAGTTCATATAAAAAGTTGCATCTCTATTTATCATAACTTCCGTGCCTTGTACCACAATAAACCGAACATCCAGTTAAAACCAGTAATCACATCTAAACCTAGACTCTAACGCGTTGGAATAAAACTTAAATTCCATTAAAAATTTAAGAAGAACGTATTACTTCCGCTAGTTTGTTTTGTTAATAAATCATCAATTTTTCTTATCGTGACGCCACATCCGGTGAGAGGTGAATGACTTATTGGTAATGCTTAATGAACTAACACATATTAACCAGACACGGTATTGTTTTTTAATAAACAAGAATTGTTCTAGAAGCTCAGGCATTAACTCGATTCTCTTCCAACAGCATACGCCTAGTAGTAAAGCGGAATTATAAAGTACTTATTAAGTTAGGATTATAATGAGTTATAATAATTAAGAGCATCGATTAGATACTTTATTCTGTTTTATGATTCTCACCGAAAATCAGTACTGTGGTTAGATTATTATTTAAACTTCGTTACATTAAAATAAAAACAAATAACATAAATTATTAGGGATGCAACGGGCGGCCTTATCGCTAATAAGCGATGTTTTCCAGGCAGCGCTAGTAAATAAAAAAACTAAAAAAGAAATACTAAGGGTAAAGTGCAAGAAACAAAACCAAATCAACAAAAACAAAATTACAATTAACACTGAAAAATTATACAATTAGCAAACTTATCTAAAATAAACTAAAAACTAAAAGCCAACGTTACGGTTTATGAATTACAGTGTAATACAAACTATTGTGCACTTGTTTAATATTTTAACATATTCTTTATAATATAACTATACTACAATATAACTATACTATACCGCTAAAATATTCTTCCGCCAAATCTCGTCTTCCCAAAATATTACATGAAAATAATTATATTACGTAATTGTATGCCTCGAAATCTCAAAAAGTTATCCCATTACATTACAAGCCTAACTTTAGTGACACTACACTATTAGTCAGAATATGTGCCTTAGCCCGCGGGAGTACTATTATCTAACGTGTGTTAGAAAACGTTTTGTTTTTAATATATAAAACTAGCTGACCCGGCAAACGTTTGTTTTGCCATGTATATTATTTCTAAGAAACATTTTTTTAGTTCAATAAAAATAACTATCTACAATAATAAAAATAGGGGTTGATTGTAGAGGGGTAAAAATTAAGGGATGTATGTTGTATTATAAAAAAATAAAAAAAATGTCTAAAAATAAAAAAATCTAAAAAAATTGGGTGGACACCCCTTAGGTTTGAAAGATAGATAGTAGCAGATTCTCAGACTCAATGAAAAAAATTTATAAGAATCGGTCGAGCCGTTTCGGAGGAGTATGGGAACGAAGATTGTGACACGAGAATTTTATATATTAGAAGCTTATATACTGCTCAAAACAATTAGCGGAACAAGATTTTTCTCCTTTCCATTGCTTAAACTAAAATTATTTAAATTAACTTGTACGCTTTTTACATTGTTAATTTGTTAATTACTTCAATTAATTAAAAAAATCAATTTGTATTTTTTTATTAAAAAAATTAAAATGTGATTGTAGACGGAAAACAAAGTGACGTCTTTGAATTTTCTTACTTTCTAATCACAGAAAACACATTTTAAGTAGGTTTTTTCAATCTTTGATATTAATAGAAATTGAAGTAGCTTTTGAGTATTGTTATTATTGAGGAGTGAGTTTAGGTAAATGTAGTGGTCGTGCTTGTGACGTCGAACTATGCATAAAAATAAGAGCTCGGTATCGAGCCGTTTGAAGCGATCCGTGAGACGGGAGAATACTCACGAAGGCGTGGTCAAGGTCGAAAGAGAAAAACTACACGTTTGCAAGATCGCTACATTTTATATATTAGAAGCAGTATATAAATTCTATATAATACGTATTTCTATCTTATCCGTCTCATTTCGTTACAATTCTCAATTTAACGATGGAAGAAAAGTCATTCTAAATTCAAAATTGAACCTGCCTTGAAAATTCTCGTAAATATTCGAACCGGGCATTTGTCACGAACGAAGTAATCTCGGTAAAAGATTAGCGAGAGGCAACGCAACGGTTTAAAATCTTTAATAATTAAGTGACAAAATGTAAATCTTAATACTGTTGGAGCCTGTTTCGCAATCTCTTTGTACCAAATGGAAATACCGAAAAACCCCAACGTGATCCGATGTTTTCCGGATGAGGGGTTTTTACAAAAAATACTAAAACCACTTGGATATACAAATATATTCAAAGAAATCGGGCAACCGACGTTTTTAACTAACCGGATATTCTACAAACCCGAATTATATTTTTATGTATGTAAATAAATAATTATATTTTGTTAGATTAGATTTTTATGTTATGTGTTAAAAGTGACGTTTTATTTAATTTGTAATATAGAGAGATTGTTAGTCTGTGGAAACAGGCGCGAGTTTTGGCTTGTCATTTGAATTTTTACAAGAAGATTTTTTTGGATTTTTGACGACTCATTGGTCTAGTGGTTAGTACCCCTGACTGCGAATCCATGGGTCCCGGGTTCGATCCCCGGCTGAGAACAACATCGATGTGATGAGCATTTGGTGTTGTGCTTAGGTCTTGGGTGTTTAAATATGTATTTATATGTCTATCTATCTATATGTCTATCTATCTATAATATGTATGTATATCCGTTGCCTAGTACCCATAACACAAGCTTCACCAGCTTAGCATGGGATTAGGTCAATTGGTGTGAATTGTCTTTAAAAAAAAAAAAAGCAATTAGAATACGATAATTCTAGATCTTTTATAAAATAACAACTTTAATTATTGTTTTTATGATTATTTCAGGTAATTCATTAATTATTAATTTTTTTACTTGTCTTAAAATATACTTAGTTTTTGATTAGATATTAATTTTAAGATATTTCGTTTATAACTTCAAGTTTCAATAAATCTATAATTATTTCAGTATTTATAATTTTTTTGTATGTAATAGGAGGCTCGCCTGATGTTAAGTGATACCGCCGCCCATGGGCGTTGCCGGCCTTTCAACATACATTGTAGTTTATTCATAATATTTATAATTAGGCCAAACTAATTAGACATATAAAACACTGACTGATATCTGCGTAATAACGATCGTAACATATTATATTAAATAGCCTTTCTAATAAATGGATTATCCAAACAAAAACTAGCTGCTACATATATATTATATTAATTATTAGCCTATTGATTGGCATTTAAATTTTTATATAATTTTTTATTTAGATTTTACTTTATTTTAGTTATAGTTACATATTTACCTGTTTTTGTTAATTCTTTATGCACTTTCCCCTTTGTAGGTGATTCTTTTTTATTGTTCCTTATTAGGGTTGCCTGGAAGAAATCGCTTGTTAGCGATAAGGCCGCCCGTTGCCTAATAACTTAAGTAACTTGCTTTTTATTTATATGTATGTTTTTATTTAAGGTAATAAAGTGTAAACAAATAATTAAAAACAATAGTAACTCTATAGTTGTTAGTTCTCTATTTATAAATAATTAATTAAGCTGAAATAAATAAATCCAATCAAGAATTATTTTTTCATGTAATATCAACATAAAACAATGAACGCATTGGTGATTCATGGCACGGAATAGGCTAATTAGCACGAGAATACTCCGGGATACAAATAACATCCGACTGGGTATAGTAATATGTTTTGAGCGCTACACAAAAGCGTTGCCCTGTCTCTTTTCTTCACAACTAAATCATAATTAGACAGAAAGAGACGAAGTGCTTTAGTCCACGCCACCACAACAATCTGTTGTTAATATATGCGATGGCAATACAGGCTTTACAGTAAATAAGATTAAAATTAAATCCGATATTTCATTCAATTATAAATCTGTTTTTGTTCTACTTACTGGCACTTTTCTCTGGAAGATTTGCTTTTACAATAGAGAAACAATTAAACTTTTCTAACAAACACATAATCAAATGTGGAATTTCATGCAGCGGTATCACATCAGATGAGCCTCCTGTCCGTTTGTTACAAAAAAAAGGTTATTCTATCATTCCTAAAAGAAGATCTATGTACTCACCGCTTGTATGAAGAAGTCCTTGTGTAGCATGCTGACGATGCCGAAGTTGGTGAATTTGAAGACGCGGTCCATGATCCACATGAGATTTGAGAGAACTCCAGGTCGAGGGTTCCATGTAGACATTAGCATTGGTACATCGGCTGTACTCTGATGGTTGGCTAGGACCAGTGTTCGACGATTCGTGCATACTGTTGGTTCGTCCCCACTCTCAACAACTGTAGACAAAGAATAAGAATAATTAGTCACAGGGTATTATATACAAAAACCCAAGACACAATCAATCTAAAAAGTCTAAAAGGCGCAACATTCTAAAGGTCATTCAAATAGTCTCCGTCTATAAAGTCGATGATTATTGTGTTTTTTTATAAATAAATTTATGTACTTGAACTTTGGGAGTTTTTGACAAATATATTACGTATATAAAGTGGGGTAGGAGGTAGCCAATTAACATTTTTTTAATTTAAAGAAAAAACTTTAAGGTTATAATAAAATTACAACTATTTAACATCCAACACCTTTTGTCTTCATAGTGACCACTCACGCTGTAAAGAACCCGAAAAGTCGGATAAATTTAAAATTATGTTAAATAGTTGTAAATAAAAAGTAGTTATCCTCAATACCCCCGCCACGTCGTCGTTTTATTGTTTTAAGTACGTATACACTGCGTTGTAATAACAACCTTTAAGCAAGTTTCGGGTAGGGTTGATTTTGCAATAATATATGCTTGTAACATATACTGTTATGGGGGGGGGAAATAGTGTTTCGGGACACTTTCGAGCTTATTTATGAGATGATTTGGGTTTTATATAAAAGGGTATTATAAAATACTAGCTGCCCCCGCGAACGTTGTGTCTCCTAAATGTGATTTTACTTAGCCAACCTTTTTAGTACATACCAACGTGGAACATTTTGCTATACTACCCGAGAGACTGTTCGGTTTTCCGGAATGAAAACTTGTTAGGATTTTTCTAGTATAAAAATTTAATTACAACCACTTCAACAAAAAAAACAACTAACGCTACCTTAGATTTTCTTATATGATTGCCATGTTCGTCTTGGTTTTATCATATAGATCATGTAGCAAAATTAAAAAAAAAATAGCGTCCATCCGCTTGGTGACCTTCGCGGGTAATCCGTACAAATTTCTTGATGTCATTCGAAGTTCTTAAACGAGTGGAGTGTTGCCACTAAAACGATTAGACTGCCGCACTCTAGGGAATTAGCTGTACTAATGTTATTAATACTGGAGCGAATTAGTTTTACACCCTTGGGTTATAAATTTAATTATTAAACTTTTCCAGGCTATTGATAAATTTCATTGATTTTCTTTTTCTAAACGTACATTATTTCGATTTTTTTCCAAAAACAGCTTAATTTTTTTTAAAAAAAACAAAAACTATAAAACAAAATTTAACATTTCATGAACAGGCAAGAGCCTTTATCATAACTTGGTTGTTTTAATACTTAAAATTTTTCTGTATTGTTCGCGTTATATTTATGGTGTAACGCTCTATGTACGGACAATTTAAACAAACATTAAATTACATCAGACCTTATACGAAATCATAATTGTTTTACGTGTAGATCAATCTTTAATTTCGAAAAAGTACAGATAAAATATCCAAACAACCGAAGTAAGATATTGAAAATACAACAAAAGGTCCGGAGTTTCTTCCAAGTATGAAATATTTATTTGCCAAGACCGCTTATACAGGGTGTTTGGCGAACGTGACGCGTTACATCCAGATGGATTTTGATAAGGGTTCCTTAGTCACAGAGATATATTGGAAACGTTGGTTAATATTTACCCAAACGTAAGGGAATAAAACATGTCTGTACGATGTAAGTGATAAATGAATGCTTCCCTTCCTTCACAACAGCCTTTGTTTTGTTTTTATATAAAATATAAACGCATATTTAATTTATCAAGACACTAGGTATTTGTTCCTGTCTATACTAATATTAGAAAGAGGAAAGATTTGTATGTAAGTATGTTTGTAACGAATTGGCTCAAAAAGTACTGGACGGGTCTGGGCGTTACTGCATACGATTTTTTGCATTTTCTGAGAAGATTTACTATGGTAATATATATTTATTTTTTTACCATAGGAAAGTAGAGATTTCAACGAACTGAAACGCTGATATTTACGGTGTTTTGATAAAAATGATATTTTGATATTAATTAAGGTAAGAAAAAATAAATATTTTTAATCAAATAAATTACAGCGCATTTGGGACATAGAAAGGTAAGTTTTCACCAAATTTCGTTAAAAAAAATTTTTTTTTGTAAAAGATAAAAATTAAAAACCAAAAACTTTGTTTTTTGAATTTTTCACATAAATTTTGATGTTATGTGAAAAATGTGTGAATACAAAAGTTTTCGATCTTTTTATTACCTACCTTCTGCCATTTAACTTTCTTCGATAGGACTTTTAGTTTTGCCGGAAATCGAGATAAACCGTTTTTTCCCCCCCCCCCCCTTCCGCCCCCGGGTGGCCGGAAAATTTTTTTCCTTTAATTTTTATCCCCTTTCCAAAACGTTTTCTACTGTTATTTTTTTAGTTTTTTTAAAATTTGATGTTAATATCTAGTAGATAACAATAATGAGAATCAAATGGATTAAAAGTTTATAAAAAAAAAAAAATTTTTTTTGAAGTAAAATTTGAAAATATGTACCTACCAAGACTTTATATTATAACTACTAAATTAGGTAAACATTGCCTTTATTTCAAATTAATATAACTAAGATTCAATGACCAAACGTCTGTAACCGCCTCCGAGATTTCTAAATTAAATTCTACTCCCATAAAACTTCAAACCAGATGGCTTATAAATCTTGAGAATTTCATATAAAACCTTAAGAATATTTTATGAAAAATTCAATTTAATCAAGTTCATTCATGCAAATATTTTTAATACTCAATGTGCAAGTCTGTCAAAACTACTTTTAACTTTTCATTCTTGATTTTTTTGTTAACCTGATATTAAATTACACCACCGCACATAAACACTCAAACTGTCAGAAAGGTTACGAGTCTATTTCCGATCTTATAAAAATTGGTCAGTTAAGTGGTGCGCAAGGGCTACTTCACATGATATATGCGGCAAAACCTGCGAATGTTTATAGAACAGGGTGCAAATAAGCAGGAGGCTCATCTGATGTTAAGTGATACCGCCACCCATGGACACTCTCAATGGCAGAGTGCTCGCGAGACCGTTGCCGGCCTTTTAAGAATTGAAACGCTCATCTCTTGAAGGGCCCTAAGCTTCTACCCCAAACAACATCAGACATTACCAATAAAAGTAATGGTTCATTAAAATTCAAAAGCTAAGCGGATTTGAACCCCATTCCTACGTCACAATCTAAAATTCAATTGAAGTGAAAAAAATCACATCATTAGCATAACAAAAAAATCTCATGCATTTTTCTCTACTTAAAATAAATAATGGCAATTTAAGATTCAAATTACAAATGCCTGAAGCGGCGGTCCCGAATTTCCTAAATAAATAATCTCGCTATCTGAATCGCTATAAAAATTATTAACATTTTCATAGTCGTTTATTCGAAGCGCGATTTTATTTCAAATAATTTTTCTCTAGTAAAAGAAATGGAGCGATTCATTTTCGCATCGTTACAGTTTTATACAAATCGACGAACTCCGTGGTTGGTCGTTATAGAAAATTCTTTTGGGATTTTTTAATAACAACGAAGAGTACATACTTTTCACAACAAAACCAATTCATGTCGCACAAAAATCATCTTTAAATTACTATATAAACCTCGAAGTTTTATTCCTAGTGTAGGTAAGATTCTTTATATTTATACTAATATATCTATACTAATATTAGGAAACACAAAAGATTAGAACGTGGTAGGGTACTTCAGACTTTTAAAATCTACTGAGGTTAGGTTAGTAACAAGTCCGTTCCGCACGAAGTCTCGGAAATAAAAGTGAGTCAACGCCGGTGTTGCCACGCTTTATATAGGTTTCTGCTACAAAATGGCGTTAGTCCGCTAACACTAATATATCTATACTAATATTCTAAATAATAAACAGGAAAAAAATGTAATTATAAAGAGAAATTTTTTGTAATGTTTTCACACAAAAACTAGTGGACTGATTTAAAAAATTATTTTACCATCAGAAAGCTGCATTTTCACTGACTGATATAGGCTATATTATATTTTCAAAAAATATAGGGATCCCTGATAAAAATGCAATAATATAACCCAAGATTTACAAAAATATATCCATATAAAACTGTCAACGCATGCACTGTAGAAACTGTTAATGATAGAAGAAAAAAAAGTTGTACAGTATTATAGAACGTATAAATATCTACAAAAACTATATTTGACCCATAGGCAATTGTATGTTGGCCTGTTCCGAGTCGGATCTCAAGAACATCAAATTATTTTGCTGCCACAAAACAAAACTACATCAAATGTTGTGTATATTGAAGTTCTAAGACACTGAAGTTTTACAAATAAATCTCTTCTCTAATATTATAAAACAAAGTTTTGAAGTTTGAATTTTTGTTATTATTCCGTTTAAATTCCGGGACTGATTTACGATGTATCCTTACCAAGAAGAAAGGCACACAATTGTTGGGAACAAAGAGAGGTTAGACTGATACTGATACCTTGCCTCACTATAGTTCACAAAAACGCACAATACACTCACTATAAAGTTATAAATTGAGGACGTAACTATTAACAAAAAAGTATAAATTAAAATAATAATGGGTTTAACATGACCCGAGGAAAACCATGTGACTAACCAAAAAAATGTGACGATCGGCCGAGTAAAAATATTTTAGTTCACCCTCATCAAATTTTATTACACCAAAATTATGTATTTCGAACAATATCGACTCTTAATATTGTGTTGCCTTATTACAAAGAGTACATCCAAATTTTGCTTGACAGATACCGGTGTAGTCAGATAACTTGCCCCAATTGCTGCCCACTACGTTCCTACGACACGAGGTACTGACCTAAGAGATCTGCGACTCGTAGTATTTACTGTCAGTATTTCTGATATAGAAACCATATTATGCTACGTAGAAAATCAACGCATTCTCAGAAACTGAATGGCACACGAAACTATCAAAAATGTATAAATTCACGCTGCGGTCGCCGACCTGAAATCCGCCGAGAAAGGGTTTAAAATTAAAAACTCTTATCAATAGCTGAAACCTCTTTAAAACAAAGCACGCAATCCGAGACATCTCAAAAGACGTCGTCGCTTTAATAAAAACAAAATGAGCGAAGAAAATCCGAGACTTAATGCAACGTTTAATTAATAAAGCAATCTCTTTGAAACATTTAATTACAGGTATCGTATCTCATTCAAATTTAACTTAGGAGATATTGTATTAACGAAACTGATACCTTTGCCAATTATTTTGAAGGCTTTGTTTTACGAGTATTGTCAATGGGCGGTTTTTAGTTACGTTTTATAAACTTGTATTTGATTACGCGCTTCAGTAGCTGTTTAAAATAAACTAGATGGCAACGTGATTAGAGACTGTACTTACGACGATTAATTTGTCTATACCACTTAATCTTAAAGATAAGCCCCGACTCTTTTTAAGGGTACCAATTTACATAAGAAATAAATGGTTTACCATAGTTATTAGATAGTCTAACGTAAACCAACATAATTTTTTTAAACTACTTTTATATGCATTTGTATCGCTCCTAAATAAAACTGCTATGGTTACATTAAAACCACAGTGATTTTCTAATATATGTAACGTATGTAACATATAATGATTTTATTATATTATTATGTACAAAAATATAAAAAAAGTATATAGTTGCGTAAGGAAAGATTTTTTTCTATTTTCGCAACGCTTTTTATTAATGTAGCTATGATATTGATTTCACCATGTTATAGCCTAA